GATAATCACTAATAGGGTTTAATTGTTAAACCAGTAAAATACATATATCTATGTCTTGAATTTGAAAAAACAAAAATTATATTTTATCACTAAAGAAGGGTTCAGTGAATGCGCATATGAAACTGGTGGGTTCGGGACCTCAAAAAAGGTTTAGAACAACTGGTTTAACAGGACTTCAAGACTCCCCATCTTAGAGATATAAATTACAAAAAAGAACAACAAAACAAAAGGAAAACAAAAAAAGAAGCAATTCAAAGGAGTCTGCAAACTTTAGGAAAAAAAGTCACATGTAGAAAGCACCTTTACACATGTTAACAAATTAAAATCAATATTTTTGGAGCAATTTCAGGATATTCTAACAGGAAGTTTTATTCCAAAACATGCATATAGAAAAAAACCCAAAAAAGAAATAAGAGTTTATCGATGTATTAACTACAGGTGCTGGTCATAAAATTAGAATATCATGAAAAAGTAGATTGATTTCAGTAATTCCATTTAAAAAGTGAAACTTGTATATTATATTCATACATTACATACAAACTCATATATTTCAGATGTTTATTTTGTTTAATTTTGATGATTACAAATGACAACAAATGAAAATCTCAAATTCATCATATCAGAAAATTAGAATATTGTGAAAAGGTTCAAAATTGATGGCCCCTGGTGCCACACTCTAATCAGCTAATTAACTCAAACCACCTGCAAAAGCCTTTAAATGGTCTTTCAGTCTACTTCTATAGGCTACACAATCATGGGGAAGACTGCTGACTTGACAGTTGTCCAAAAGACGACCATCGACACCTTGCACAAGGAGGGCAAGACACAAAAGGTCATCGCTAAAGAGGCTGGCTGTTCACAGAGCTCAGTGTCCAAGCACATTAATAGAGAGGCGAAGGGAAGGAAAAGATGTGGTCGAAAAAAGTGTACAAGCAAGAGAGATAACCGCACCCTGGAGAGGATTGTGAAACAAAACCCCTTCAAAAATGTGGGGGAGATTCACAAAGAGTGGACTGCAGCTGGAGTGAGTGCTTCAAGAACCACCACACACAGACGTATGAAAGACATGGGTTTCTGCTGTCGCATTCCTTGTGTCAAGCCACTCTTGAACCACAGACAGCGTCAGAAGCGTCTAAAGAGAAACAGGACTGGACTGCTGGTGAGTGGTCCAAAGTCATGTTCTCTGATGAAAGTAAATTTTGCATTTCCTTTGGAAATCAAGGTCCCAGAGTCTGGAGGAAAAGAAGAGAGGCACTTCATCCACGTTGCTTGAAGTCCAGTGTAAAGTTTCCACAGTCAGTGATGGTTTGGGGTGCCATGTCATCTGCTGGTGTTGGTCCATTGTGTTTTCTGAGGTCCAGGGTCAACGCAGCCACATACCAGGAAGTTTTAGAGCACTTCATGCTTCCTGCAGCTGACCAACTTTTTGGAGATGCAGATTTCATTTTCCAACAGGACTTGGCACCTGCACACAGTGCCAAAGCTACCAGTACCTGGTTGAAGGACCATGGTATCCCTGTTCTTAATTGGCTAGCAAACTCTCCTGACCTTAACCCCATAGAAAATCTATGGGGTATTGTGAAGAAGAAGATGCAATACACCAGACCCAACAATTCAGAAGAGCTAAAAGCCACTATTAGAGCATCTGGGCTATCATAACACCTGAGCAGTGCCACAGACTGATCGACTCCATGCCACGCCGCATTGCTGCAGTAATACAGGCCAAAGGAGGCCCAACTAAATACTGAGTGCTGTACATGCTCATACTTTTCATGTTCATACTTTTCAGTTGGCCAACATTTCTATAAATCCTTTGTTTTTATTGGTCTTCAGTAATATTCTAATTTTCTGATATGATGAATTTGAGATTTTCATTTGTTGTCATTTGTAATCATCAAAATTAAACAAAATAAACATCTGAAATATATGAGTTTATATGTAATGTATGAATATAATATACAAGTTTCACTTTTTAAATGGAATTACTGAAATCAATCTACTTTTTCATGATATTCTAATTTTATGACCAGCACCTGTATAGCAAACATTTAAAACCTTTTAAATTAAGTCTAACTTTAATCATTGTACCAGAAGGACTTAAATGCATCATAATAGCTTAGAATCATTTAGAACTAATGGACCTTATGTGACCAACCTCCGAAAACTATAAAGGACAAATGGCTTCATCTGAGCCTTCAGAAGAGGCTTCAGTTCATCAGAGGATCCATCTCTGCGGGGCTTTAAAGCAGCCCTCAGACCATGAGGACATCTATCAAAGCAGCAGAGGATCCTCCCCTTTATGGACCCAATCTGCTCAGAGAGCATCTTCAGTGTCAGAAAACAGCCATCAGAGCAGCACTTTAAGAGGGAAACAAGATGTTCAGACTGATTGTTAAGGACCACAGGGAGGAATCATCACATCCTCCGCTCCAATCAGAACAAAGACGTTTTCTGCTCTCTGCAGAGCTGCAGCACCTCTCCTGCAATGCCCGGGTTAACAAGTCAGCAGTAACACTGAGGTGGGGATCAGCAGGACTGTCTGCTAAACCACTCACAGCTTATTTCCTGAAACAGAGGAATTCTGGTAAAGTAATGATGATCCAGCTCCTTATTTGTACTCAAATCCAAACTAGAGCTGCTCTAAGGAACTGAAGTTTTATATTTTCTGCAGCTGATTGTAAGAATGATCAAACTGAACCACTAAACGAAGCATATTAATCCATTCAATCATATCTTCAAAGCTTTAGACTTGATGCTCTTATGAACCCAAAAATAAAATGACCCAAACCAGACTTCTTCCAACTTTTAAATCCTGAATAGTAAAAAACCTGTTAAGCTAAGTGGACCCTCAGGGGTCAGCAGAACTTCTCATCCTGATCAGTTTCAAGATTGCCTGAAAGTCTGGCTGCTTGTAAGGAAAAGACATTCTGGTTAAATGAGCAAAACACTAAAGATCCATTTACACTACCCTTTTAAAACTGTAATGAGAACAGTCTCAGGGCCGGATTGATCAAGATCCAATTTTGCATGCAGTAAATTGGGCTCGCAAACTGGAATTTTGCGCGAGGGGCTGAACCATGGTTTGCTTCATTTCGATGTCTCCTTCTTGCGACAATAACCGCTGCCATGTGTGCGCAATTGCGCATACAGACCATTTGCACCTTCTTTTGAAACGTGTTAAATATAGAGTCAGATACCGTTAGCAAAATTGCTTTCAGGTTTGATAAATCACTTTGCGAGTGCTAAATTAATATATTTACATGTTCTCCTCCCACAAGACACACTTTTGCGTGTAAACGCCCCATATTGCATATTCATTGCAGAAAAAGTACTAAATGGATAAGAGGCGCTATTTAGCACGTTTTAAAGACCAAATCCTTTTAGCACGTTGTTGATAGTTCAGTTTGTACATTTTTTAGCATGCGCAGTGAAATAGCTCACGTTTTTATACACGCAAACCTTTGATAGATCCGGCCCTGAGTGCGGTAACCAAGCTAACTGTGGAGTGTAAAAGGAACGCAACTGAACCGGACCGTGCCAGACTCAACAGAACCGTGCAAAATCTAGTACTAGTTCAACAGTAGGGCTCGGCAAAGTTAATCTGTGGCTTAGTTCTCTGATAACAAAGAGAGTATGAGGAAACCACGTCATCTCCTATTTACAGTCAGCTGACTCATTTGGCAGGTTTTCCGCCGTGTTTGGCTTTGCAATTCACTGATCTTTTCACCTGTTCACAACACAAACTTCCTCTAGGCCTATTAACAATAAATGGCATAAAAAGAGCGTGGTGCAACCTGGGATGATGCAGAGACTGAGGCTCTCATTTAAATTGGGGTGGAAGGCGCTGTCCAGGCACATAAGTTCCTGAATGTTAGGGGAGCCGCCATTTTATTTGTGTATTTCCAGCCTTGAGAGCTGTAGTATGGTGAACCGCCAATAGGAGGCGAGGAACCGTGCTAGAGGGATTTGTAAATGGTCAAAAGAACTGATCCAAGCTCGGTCCGAACTCGGCACGGATCGGTTTCAGAGGGTAGCGAGACTGATCTATAGTTTAATCTAAAACTATCTGTACTCTTAAAATAAACTGGTTTCAGCAGATTATCGTCGGGTATTTAAAAAAAAGAGGAAATAAAATAGGACTAAAACCAGATGTATTTGATCGTTTTCCAAAATACATTAAAATGTTTATTTTTAGCTTTTATCAGTGAAGGTAGTGGCTGCTGAACTTTTCTTCCTGGGCCGCTTTGGTCTCCATAGCTCCCCAGCTCCCTTCATAGATTTCTAAACAACCTACTTAATTCTTAAAGTCAGTTTATTCCTTTATTGTTTTATGTTAGACTCAAGATAAAATGTTCTTCTGATTTGATCTTTGCATTTTCCTGACAAGGAAAACTAAAAAGAGCAGCAGGATTCCTAAAAGCTGAACTCCGGGTGATCTGAACCAATCACAGCCGGTATAGAGAGCCGTCTTCCCAGACCCCCGACATCAGAGCCGTAGCAGAAAAACAAGATTAAGGCCATAAAAATGAAGTTAATCTGTTCAATCAAAGGAGCAAAGCGTCTCCTAAAGCAAACCTCTGACCTCCTTCTGATCAAGTTTTATCTTCCTAACCCTCCTCATTCATTAAAACCCCTTTCCACCTCAATCATCTCAGCTTTGTCACCGTTATCATTCTTTTACTTCCCATTTTTTCTTTTTATCTATAAGTTCCTCTCCTACTATCCTGATCATTCTTCTTATAGCTCTGTTTTCAACTTCTTTATCACCTTCCCAATCATTTTGCCAATCTCTCCTCAATATGCTCCTGTTTCTCCCCACTTATCCCTAATTGCGTTTATCGTGTTCACCCTCTTTCAACTTTAAAGCACCTATTCCTCTCTCACTACAGCTACAGAGCCATCCTTCATCACGGCCGCTGAAAATTACGCTCCAGAGACGAAGCTCCTTCTCTGTCCTTCACCTTTAATTAAACAAAACCTAGAGACCAGACTCCGCCTACCTGGTGACAGATCTCATGGACGACCACCATAGTGAGCTCCATCTGATAGGACGATGAGGAAACCTCGGCGTCCAGCAGGATCTTCTGCTCCACGAAGACGCTGAGCCCCCAGTTCTCCATGGCGGCGTAGGGATGTTTAGGCACAGCCAGCAGGTCTGTAAACACAGAGAAGAAACAGCTTCCTGTTAAAGAGGTTTGTCTTTAATAAAAAGGAGGCCATCCTCTGACAGGATGACTGCTAACAGAGCAGATCCCATTCTGGTTTAAAATTAAACACATGCGTCATTTTAACAGCCTGCAACACGGACCTACGAAGCTTTCTAGACAACTCGGTAAATATCTGCCCAACACAATGCTTTGCACCAAGGAAAGATGGAGAGAGAAGGAAGAAGAACAGCAGCTGGAAAATGAGAGGGATGGTTTTACAGGAGAGAGACTGAAGGAAGTGGAGGGAAGTTTTCCAGGCCACTTAGAAACCAGATGGCTGCCATATTACAGCTACAGCTAATTTTAAAATGCAGACCTCCTAGTTTTTTAGTGGCTATGTGAGTTTAATCAAACTTAAACCAAGCAGTTCAAACATGTTTAATAGATAGGCCACTCTATAGATAAACATAACATGTGTGTTTAATTGTTAACATTGTGTTTAGCATCAGTAAGTATGTAATGGGTGCAAATATAAGCTTTTCTCCAAGATTATGTTCTATTAAGGAGTATATAAAAAACATGTAATATATGATCTGATATCTATTAGCTCCTGCACAACAACATCCGGCCAGGAGGGACTTCTAGCCATTAGCTCCGCCCATCATTTTAAATCTCTTCTCATTGGTTGCCACCTCATGTTAATCATTTTGTAGCGGACCATAATGTTGCAGAGAAGGGGTTAGGATGTGCAGTGCATATTTTTAGTGAAGTTGTTTTTTTTTTACTTAATACTGTATGATAAAAGCTTACCTGCAAAACTTAAACTTGCTTTAGAGGTAGATGATATTATATATTATTATATGTTGCATCCAGCCAGCTTTTTAGGTTTACATTACTCTTACAATATTTATAAAATTCCAGTTATAAATATTGTGCAGCTTTAGAGTTGATTAGAATCTTTAAATTGTTTTTCTTCCTTTAAAATCTGCGTTTCAAACATAAATGATATCTTTGGTTGATTCCCAATCCTGGCTTTTTTCTAAAGCCGGTGAGGTTTTTATATCCTAAACCATAAGATGGTGAACATAAAGGTTTTCTTATCCTAATGAAGGCAGATTTACCTGAAATCAAACATTAGATAATTTGTGCAGGCAGGCAGAAATCTTTTAGATATCAAGTTAAACGCCAGTAAAACTGTAGTAGTTAATTCCTATTGTATTAAAAAAAAAACTGAATCAAACCGATTTTTTTTTTTTTTTTATCAGACTTTAATGTTTTAGGTTAAATTAAACCTTAATTAGACAAAAAACAAACAAAAGAGGTTTTGAGATAAACCTTTCACATTTAAACTTTGTGAAAATATGACATTTTCTATGATTTAATGACAAATTAAATATTCTGGTTTCATTTCCAAACTGCTAACAAAACCTTAGCATATATAAGTAGTTTGGAAAGTTGAAGAAAGCTAGAAGAACCTCAGATCTGAACACAAAATCAACAAAAGGATGAGTTCTGTTTTCCTTCAGAAAATCCTGAATGAAAACAGCCAGCCGTCAGATCCTGGGTTTTCCAACAGGAACAAAATGTACAGACGGTTTTGGATTGGCCTAGTCAAAGCCCTGGCTGATTTAAAGCAAACAGCAGATCATTTAAAAGACTAGAACATTAGGAAACTAGACATTTCAAGGGTGTTATACTTTTCCTATCAAATATAAACATGAATCCACTTTATGTTAATTAGATACTAGCATCTTAACACTTCTTTTATAAGGATAAATCTGTAAAAATATTTCTCCACAAATCTGATGATAGTAACAGTGATTATTTCAGGAAGCATTAATTACATTATGGGAAATATTTACATCTTTCAACAGCAGTTTGACTAATTCAGAAGAAGAAGAGGTGCAAAGGGCGTGTGATGAAAGAATAGAGCGGCTGTAAATATCCTGATGATGAATCTGCAGAATGAGTGCCGACATGGTCCTGGGGGGGTCTCCACACCCCTCTTTTCAAACAACTAAATTACGACTTCCTGTTTTAGAAGGAAAAAAATTAAAGATGAAAATGAATTTGTTTTTCAGAAAGGTTGTTCAAAGTGAAGTGAAGAAACAAACCCAGGAGGAGAAAGTGTTTCTTTCAGGGCGGGTATTTGATTAAAGACGAGAGAGGGGGGGTAAAAAGGAAGGAGGTGGAAAGGTGAAAATTGGCTTTCTCGCTGTAACAGGAACTCATCAGTGTTTCAGAAAAAAGAGGTGGATTTTTTTTCTCTCCTGATAAATGAGTGAGAACAGCGAGGGTCTCAGTGTGAGCTTAAAATAAGAAATGCTGATATCAGAAGCAATTAAACCGAGAGAAAGTAGATTTAAAAAAGAAAAGAAACAAAATTAAGTTTTAATTGTCCTCTCAGAAAAGTTCAGGGGCTGCTTCTCGAAGAAAGGAACTGATATAAGTTGGGTTTTATTAATTCCTAGCTCTACTTTTAAGGACCAGAAAAAATAAAACATATTTAAAACTGAAGCTAAGTTTCTATTGCAGCCCGAACGACTCACAAACCAGTGAACAGCAAAAGAAAGACTGTTATAAAACCAGACACCAGGACCCAGTATTCAAGGAAAGACAGTTGGAAAATTCCAAAACGTTTATTAACACAAAAAAACAAAACGCAGAGTTGTGGATCAGCAGATATGCAGCAGCTGTGGGGGAGGCAGGGAGAGCGCCCATCACTCTGGTTTAACTGTTCAGTCCATCCTCTCGAATGAGATAGGATTCAGTCAATGTACTGCCCAGGAAAACACTGGGCGCTAAGCTCCCCAGGGTAAAGCCAGGTAAAGGGAAAGATATCAGAACAGGACAGTTCTGAGATCCAGGAGTCCTTAGCGCAACCAGGAGTTCCGATCAGAACCGGAACAGGCAGATCGGGGGTTCCAAAATTCCACAGAGAATTAAGGCAGGTTCAGGTTTCCAAGACCCAAAAAGAGAATTCAGGAAGACATGTTTGGATTCAGACAAGCAGGCTCAGCAGTTGAGAGGCAGAGACAAGACGAGGTACCAGGAGAACTGCAGAACTTTAAAGTTGCTCCCTCCTGTCAGCCAAAACTGGAACGGGGGCACACTCAGAGGATAAGACCAAGGACACAATCAGGGAAAAGACAAAACAAAAACCCTCTCTAACACTGGCCTCCGTGAATGGGAACATTAACCATGGAAATAAGCCATGATCTCAATCTGAACCTGAAACTCAAAACAAACATTCGTAATGATCTGGCCCCGATAGCTGGGCTGAACTCTATATAAAGAAGAAGGAGCAGGTGGATAAGATGAATGGTAATTAGAGAGCGGGGAGGGTTCGGCAGGTGAGTGAAGTGAGAATTTAGGTCAGCCTTCAGGGCAGATCATGACAAGGAGCCCTGCTTAAACAGAGAAACATTTCTTAAAAAGTTGAGTAAACTAAATAAACAGTTTTTATTCACAGACCTGTCTCTCTACAATAATGTTGCACTTGGTTAATTGATCCCCCATTAAACAACTGCTGCTGATTTCAGATCTTTAGGTCTGATATAAAGTCTCAGACCCTTCATCTGTTTTCCCATCTCATTCCAGATGTAAAGGAGCTGCTCTAGATGAAGAAAAACACACTGCAGGTGTTAACTTCCAGCTGTTTAAGGCTGAACCTCATAAAAAAATAAAAAATAAAAAATACAGACTGTGAGACGTAGATTTAATCTGAGCTGCTGTCAGCCTCACAGACGTTTAATCCTGTTCCGACGTTCGGGAGGAAGTTTTAAATTCTCCCAGGACACAAAAACTGACTCTAAAAAATCTCCAGCGGAGCTGATGCTGCTTCTGTTTGATGACGGCCAAAGGAAAGTGTTAATCTCTCAGATAAGCCTCTCCTCAACCTTTAAGAAAGATTTATCCGATAAACTGATCAGGTGTTATCACCAGGAGACAAATGTCACCGCCTGCTGAAAACGGTGCAGATTTACTGAGTTGACTTTTAGCGGATGTCATCGGGTTACTGATGGCAGGGAAGAGGGGAACGGGCTGTGAGATCATGAATGAAGAGATTTATGTTCACCTGTGGCTGAAATGCAGGAAAACCTTAAAATATAAGAAAACATTCTTATAGCTGCAGCACAATCTCTTAATGAAAGATGTTGAAAAGTCAAACATTTTTATTTAATTCTGTAAAAACAAAAAAAAGACTTTTAACAAATGATATTAAAACATAATGATTGACAGCAGAGCGAAAAACGCAACATCTTCCTGGCTTAACCAGATTGAAACAGCCCAAAGCATCACAGATCCCCCACCACACTCTACAGTGTGTTCTGGCTCTGTTCCCAAATGCAGTTTTGCTGCTAGACAGTTCAATCCTAGTGTGATCCGAGGTTTACGTTTGTGACGGTAGGACAGAAAATGCCTCCCATTCAACCAGCAGCCTATGCTTTATGGAGACTTTAGCCATAAAATTAGAGTGGTGAAAGATAACGGCCGCATTTACATTCAGAATAAACACTTTTAAATTATATTTTTCTCCTTGGGTATCTGATTACAGAGGGCCGGAAATAAATAAAATATTCTTCCTTCCACCTCACACAAAAACTCAATTTAGTGTTCTGGTTGGAATGTAATGAAACAAGGAGCATTTGAAGGTGAATGGAGTTTTGATCAAAGCTTTGGATCTACACTGGTTGATTACCATGGCTGTTAAGACATTAAGAACAATCTGGATTCCCAGATCTTGGTATCCCCTCGATTCCTGGTAAACTAATAATCCAGACAACGTGCCTGGAGGACATTGACACAAGACACCGCTGTGTGTTGAGGGCCAACCTAAAGGAGTTTTCTTTTTTGTTGCATTTCAAAGCAGAGTTCTGCAGCTGCCGGTGTTGGTACCAGATCTGCTCGGGTGGTCAGATCTGCTCAAACATTGTGGTTGCCCAGACAACGATAGTAACATCAAGCACTGTCAAAGTCCGGAGCATCCGTAGTATTTGCCTGTCTA